TTACCAGTTCATTAAAACTGCAAATACATCCACAGCACGAACCCCGGTTAAGAGCAGCAAACATACTCTTGACACGTCGGACAAAGCCAGCCCAGCAAAGAGAAAATTAAAATCCGTTCGTGTCAATTCGCGGACAGCAAAGTCACCCTTGATCGAAGGTTCCACGTTGGCCACTAAAGTCAAATCAAGAAAGTCTCTCCCCTTTTCTCTTTTGGAGAAGATTAAAAACCTAAAAGCCTTATTTAGCCTTATTTTGACCTCAAAAGAGGTCTAAGAAAATGCTTTTGCAAACAAAACTAACGAGCTGGGCCCAGCGTGATAAAATATCAGGAAAACATCACATTCACCGACTAGAAGAAAATCACTTAGTTATTCAGATCCAGCCAACAATTGAACTAGGTGTCCGTATTAAGCGGGTGTCCTTAAAGCAGGGTTTGGCTGTATTGAACATTAAAGTAATTATATAATAAAATTAAATTATAATTATATAAAATTATTTTATTATAATTATTATAATTAATTATAACTTTATGATAAAAGTGATAAAATGATGAAAAAGAAAAGTGTTCTTAAGCAAACGGAACCCCAAGGAATTTTTTTTTCTTTTAATATTTCCTTCAGGTTGTGAAAATGAACGACAAACAAATAGTTCAATCAACATTCTCCGTTGATAACTAAGTTTATGATCCTTGGATAATTAAGGCCCGTCGTCGCATACCTGTTTTTGAAGGTAACAGTAAATGCGCATGCTCCCGTCAAAGATGCTACCTTTTTCACTCACTATTGCGTTTTCGTGTGGAAGCGAATTCCTTTGAAAGAGAAGAAAAAACGTAACAAAAGGGATACGCGCAAGACGAGGCCCAAAGCAAGGGCCGACCACTGATTCATACTATTCAGACAGGACTTTAAGTTATTAATTATTTTCGCGGAAGCCTCCCTGGTATGAATAGGGTTAAAGTCCTTCGCAATTCGGCCTAAATGATTTGGGAAATGATTAAGTTTGAAATAGACAGATAAGATCAGGTAATGGAAGTGAGACAAAAGAATTACGAAGATATGATTACAGTTCGAAACGTTAACTTATAGTCACGAGAAATATCTTGCGTTTTGTGCTCTTTTCTGCCGTGCTGCTGTCACTGGTTTAATCCTTCTTTAGATCGGGATAATGAAAACGAAAATGATCGTCGTGGAATTGGTCTTGGCAGCTAGCATATACGACCTTTCTGCGTTTTTATTGACCGAGACAAAGTGGAGGTTAAAAATAACGCATGCAGAAAATAATGAGGCCAATATACAGTCATTTTTACCAAACAAGCTTGGTCAATATAAAATCTATTATATGGCCAAAAAGAGGACTTTTTCTTGCGCGACTAAAGCGGGAAATCCCCGAGCGGCTTTGCCCGCTCGGGTAGCCAAACAGAACGTAGGATTCGCTTCATTTTGCGCGCTCGCGGATTTAGGCATTTTACAAATATTTATACTAACCATCCGCCAATGAACAACTGTTATAACATACCATGTAACACCTACCTAAAAAAGCTTACTTAGCGTGTGATAAATACACATATTCCAACAGAACTGATTAGTGTAATTATATAAGCACCAGAAAAGGAATTGATAACTGTTAAGTGTTTCTGACTCAGAGTCAGGCTGTCCACGCTTGGGAACTGAAGCACTGTAAATAGGGACCATTTTCGATATATTAAAATTCATACTTGGTTCCGTCATGCTTGGGGAAATAAAATAAAAGAAATGTTTTATTCCCCGCAAGCCTCGCAGCCAAGTATGAATTTTAATACTGTATATCGGAATTCGTCTATTGCTAGTCTCATATCCGTTACAGATCGGCTTGGGAACCAAAGCACTGAGGCATAACTAAGACTGCAGAGGAACGATAATCAAACTGATTTCAAGACAAGGATCGGCAATGTCCATCAAGGGATTTATTTTCATTTTGCCAACTTTGCTTGTATTTACAGAAGGTAAGGCTTTGTTTTGTAAAGGGTAATCTCAAGCGAAAGGCTTAGGAGTGAGTAGGATGGACGATAGCGACGACATCTTTTACCATTACAAGCACGGATAACATTATACAATTGCTTAATCATCTCATTGTTCACGGGGACAGAGTCTGGTGTGAACAAAATACAGTGGAACCTCGATTAAACGAACCTCTATATAACGAAGTCCTCGGCCACTATTAACAAAAGCAAATTTTAAACTTAAAATTCTATTGTAGAGTTTAGAACACCTTTAACTATAAAAAATTGCGATAAAACATTTCTTAAAATCATTTTAAGATTAAAAAATTGCTAAAAAACGACGACGTTTCGACGTTAGCTGAACGTCATTATCAAGTCAAAATAAGTTAGTGATTTCTTGGTCTATAAATACTAAAAAACAACAATAGCTGATTAAAAAGAAAAATTGTAACGTGAGAAAATATTAAACAAAGAGTTTCGCACGTATGGAGTCCGTCTGAATATTTAAATTGGGCTTAAGCTTCTTGATGAAGAGCATTTCAAATACTAAACAATCAAATTTGCTCTGGCACTTTCTTAAAACCGTGAATTGGCTTTCTCTCAAAAGGTTGTTGTTACCGTGAGCTTCTAAGAAATGTCTACCGATTGCCGAATTTTTGTGCTCAGCAATGCGTTGATGAAGGTGTCGGGCTGTGTACCCGACATAATCTGCATCGCACAGATCACATGAAAATTGGTAAACAACACACTGCTTATTAACAATTGACGGCTTGATTTCTTTGGGTCTAAGGTCTTGCCCCAATTTCTTGCTCACGAAAACTGGTTGCAAAGTAGGGCCAATCTTATGGCTAAGATCGCGTAACTGCTTACGAACCGCATTAGCGGCCACTTGATCTTTAAAAGGACACCTAGAACACCTTTACCTGGATATTTCGCTATTTTAAAAGTTTTTTGATATTTTTGCTGAAAGCATATGAGTTAATTTTCTTGTAGTGCTTGTTACAGTTGTGAGAATAAACGCCTCCCACTTTTAAACGCCTCTGATATATAACGAAGTCCTCGATACAACGAAGTACTTTCTTAGAGAGGGCACTTTTATTGCTGTGTCATGATGCAAAAATAATTGACTTGAGGAACTGATTCTAAATTTAGCACTATATTAGGCGCTATATTGATGTTCCACAATGTTCATTGCGATAGGTACTTAAGCGGCAGACATACGGAATTTAACTTATATATAACTCCTTGCATTCACCATTGTATACGGTAGGTCTGTAACTAACGAGGGACTACCATTTCAGCGGCTTGAAATGTTCGCTGTGTTAAAAAGAGACGACGATTAATAATTGATGATAAATTACTCCTTAATTTTGGTGAGAGATTTCAGGGTTAAACTTTAATTTCACGAACGAAATTTCTGCGGCAACTTCCGCGAATAACTGAATACCAAGATGGCATCCAGGTTTAAAGATGATTTCGAATGAACTTAAAGTTGTGAACTTTGTTGAAAATGTATGTTTAAACTTTTTTATGCGTGTAGTTCCGAATGATAAGAAGGTCACGATATATATAATCGGCGATAGGTAATATGGTTCACTGATCAGGGGAAGGAAATTATTCGAATTTTGACAAAACACAAGTGGAATTAGTTGCTTATTCCACTAGTCATCATTTCATTACACGCATATTCTACAGGAAGTTGAGAGGAAAAAGTTATTTTTCGAGAAAAGCAAACGATAACGACGCCTTGTTTGTTAATTATAACCTCGGGGTGGTTATGTCCAGGGTGGAATGGAGTCGCGAGGGGGGGGGGGGGGTGTTAAGAAGGCTCAAAAGCAGGTGAAAATGGGCAAGTGCTTTTTTATGCTGTTATGGTTCAATAGGTGAGGGTACAATTTTACTTAATTTGTCTTTGTCCCAACCTTCTCCCCCCCACCTGTCATAGATTATTAATAACTTTTCAGGAAACAACGGTGGTCTAATATTAAAGAGAGATAGAGCCTGCTCACGGCAAATGGCAAACGTCACATTCAAATCAAGAATTTCTCAAAATAGAAGATAAGCAGCTAAAAACAGTGCAAACCGATTCTTATGGACAAACTAACGAGAGCCTACTATTAATTTTGTAATTGGGAGAATTAATTAACAGTAAAAGACAAGTAAAGGGTCACGTGGTACTGATTTGACGTTGACCCTTTTCCGTAAACATGACTCTAGATCTCTTTTGAGCTGTTAACCCAAATCAAAGAGCTTCGAGGTTTATGTTTACTTTTATTACGAAGACCTGTATTTTCAACCTTATTTCACAACGTGATCACTAAAAATAATGACGAATCTAACCTATGAATCTCTGTATTTTGATTGATTGTTGTGTTATCTTATTTTACTTTTATTTTTTTTCATTTTTTCTGCGGGCCACGTGTGGATTATCGAGAGATATTAAGTTTTACCCTCAATAAACAGAGTTTTATTATTAACCATTATCATTATTTATTATTATTGTCATTATTATGATGATTATTATTATTATTATTATTATTTTTAAGAATGTTCGCGGGTGCCAGTCAGCTTCATCTGGTATGTCTTCTTTTGGAAGCTATTCGGATAGGTCATTATTTGTAGACTCAGTCATCTTTTTATGTGTAAACGGTTACGTAAGTCTTTTAGCACGGCTGTTTCCACCAAAGAAGGAAGTCTGTTATGCAAACTATGGCTGTTTTAAACCTCAAAAGCATTTAAAGCATCCGCAGAGCCCGTCCCAGGCTGGAGCAGAATTCAATCTCTTCACCGAAAAAAATATTTCTTGGTCAAATTTCTGATCGTCGGAAATGGAAAATAGTTCAAATTTGACAAAATATCCCTTTCTGGGGATAACAAAACCCCAGGCCTTGAGGCAAAATTTGTGGTCAAATTCTCCAGAGAGAGGACAAAAGAAGTTAGTGTTCAAATGGCACACCTATGCCAGTAGCCCTCCCCTCTCGTCCCGCCCCCTTTCGGTCTAAACGTAACATTCACTATACGTTATTTTTAGCATTGCTTTTCCCGAAGGAGGTATGTTATCAAAAGTATGGTTGCTTTAAACCTCATCCAAACCCTCTGGTAAAGCAACCACAGAGCCCATCCGAGATTGGAGTACGATTCAATCTCTTTACAAGAGAAAACAGGAATTCAGCAACGCTCATTGATGATGAAAATGAATCTAAGCTCAGTGACTCTCACTTCATTATTTCAAGACCACTAACAATTTTTGTGATCCACGGATTTACAGGTAAGAGCGAGAGCCAGGAGACTGAGAAACAAGTCGGTCACAGCCTAATTATTTTTTTAGGCTAGTTATGGTTGTATTTTTCGTGCTAGAAATCTCTAAACTAATCAGAATCTGAACAGTGCTTCTGACTGTTCGCGCAGCGAGAAAAAATTGCTTCAACCAATCACAAGCACTACCCAGCTTTGGGAAGTTGCAAGTCATTATTATGGATTTCTGTAGTCATTCACAGACGTCTTTTGAGGGGAAACCAGTGGGGTCGTCGCCAAACGATGTCTGTTTTCTTAGGCTATACAATAACGTCAAAACGAAAGCGACAAAGTGAGAACAGACAGATTTTGTGTAGACCTAGATTTGTAAAAATCTTTAGAACAGTAAACCGAACGATCGGACAAATGCCGCTCTTTACCATTTAACTTTTCTTTATATTCTTCTCAATCTTCATGGAGCAAGAATTAGTTCATTTTTTGCCTCCTAACTAAGTATATAAGCTTTAGCCACAGACTTTCGGTGACTGACTCATAATTACTGCACAGAAAACATTAACACCTGGGCCACAGAGATGAAAAATGCTCTGCTAGGACGCGAAGACTGCAATGTGGTTTTGGTGGACTGGTCTGAAGGGGCTAAAGGACCGAATTACCTCCAGGCAGCCGGGAACACACGGCTTGTGGGTGCTCAGACAGCCGAGCTTATAAGGTTCATGATTTCGAGTAGCCCTGGATCAGTCGGTTCGATCGATCGTTTCTACATTGTGGGGTTCAGTCTTGGAGCTCAAGCAGCGGGATATGCTGGAAGCTATTTGAAGCATCAGGGAATCAAACTGGGTCGTATTACTGGTAAGGACTAACCTAAAAGCAATTTTTACCAAACTGTTTATATTCATTTGCCGGTTTATCCAATACTAAACAGCAAGGTCAATATTACAGCCACTTGTCACCTACTTTATTTTATTTTTCCTGGGAGTTCTCCTGATTTTTCCTAAGGCATAACTACTATAACAGCTGTTGCTGCTATTACTACCTAGCCACTGCTAAGTTTTGCTACCACTGCCATTAACATTACCACCACCATTATCACTACCACTACCATCATCACCACCATTATCACTTTCACTGCCAGTACCATTACCACCACCATTTTCACTATCACTGCCACTACCACTAACACTGCCACTACCGCTACCACCACCATTATCACTATCACTACCGCTACCAGTATCACTTACCACTACCAATACCACCACCATTATCACTACCACTACCACTGCCACTAGCACTATATCACTACCATTACCATTACCACCACCATTATCGCTACCACCACCAATACCACTAGCACTAACATTGCCACCACGAGATTATCACTAATATATAGATTTAGCCAGGGCTAAAAGCGAAGCTCCAATTTTAATAAATTTATAATTTAAATCAAACAATAAACTTTTAATCCACAAATCATTTAACTTAAGGGCACATTCATGTGACTTTTGCGGGAAAGGCTAAGTTATTTTAGAGTGAAACATCTTACATCGAATTGATAACCTTATATGTACACCCAAAAAATAGCAAACATCTTCGATCACATTCAAGATCACAGTAGATTAGGCCTCGAAAACAAATTCTTGGAAAACAAATCACGCCAAATTTTTTTGCGTTCGACAGGTTTACTTTACAAATTCTTGCCAACAAATCTGGGGGTGTTTAAACCAACCTTTTATAATTTTTATACACCACATTTGAGGTGAAACAGTACTATTTATCATACAGAGCTCGGACAGAATGCGGTATTTCACAATTTTTCAAGACAAATTGCACTCAGTCAATATTCAGGACGAGCCAAACCGTTCAAAAATTTCAGAAAATTTCCAAAATCACCCATACGGCCAGCTGGTTCTCGTTTCTATAGTGCGAGCTGTCAGTGTGGTCGAGTGTTTGAATGAACTTTAACAGAGTTACGCTTCAACATAATAGCGAATTTATTATTATTTGTTTTGTTATTTAATGGTTTCAGTTATAACGATGTGTAATCTTATAAAGCGTTTGATACGCGCGACATTTTTGAGTACTTCTGCAAGCGATGGTCATGAACGATGAAAACAAACGGCACGGACAAGCGATTAAAATTGCAAGAGAGATTACTAACAATAAAAAAAAGAGATATAATTCCGTGAAACATTTACAGAGACAACAATTTTCATTCACGAAGACAAGTATTAAAGTGTCTCTAAAAATCCTGAGTTTTTAAGCGTATAGCTTAAGTTTATGTTTTAGCCGGTTTCCCGGCGCGGTGTTTAGTGTTTTTGAACTCGAAGCAAGAAAATCGCTCAAAGTTTTCTTTCTACAGCCAAATTTATAACTAAATATTCTTCGGAACGTTTTCTTTCTATTTGTGGTGAGCAAATATATCTCAAGGCTTTTTAAAGTTCTGTAAGCTTATATCAAACCTGATACTAGGTCAGATCATTGACTCAAATCCTGCAAACGTGCATAAACTTGCCGCATAAACTGTCAGCGTGAACTGTGCAAGACTTCATGAAACACAAACATCAAATACAATAATTACTTAGGCTTACCATTCGAGATTCACTTCCTGGAAGCTAGCAAGGGAGGCCACAGTTGCTTGAGACTTTTAAACCCTCTTACGCATAAAAGCAAGGTGAAAAACGAAAACGATGCCCTCCGAAATCGAATTACCGAATTTTGACAAGCGACGCATTTCTCAACCAAAACCCAGTAAACAAACCAGCCATGAATAACAGAAGACTCTTGATAGCAGCTGTATTTCATTTTGTACCTCCAGAGGAAAAAGACAGTTAAAAACGTCACAAGTTGACACAAAACTCTGTCAGCTTCAGCTGTCAAAGTAAACTACTTTCAAGATGCTGAATAATTTTTCCGCATAAACTCACCTGTCAAATTTTGACCAATCAGAGTATAAAAATTGGACGTAGAGCGTGACCAACGCGTGACCATGGTAAGATAAGGTCTTCCCCGCCTGTACTTTTAAAAAAACTTGATGAATTTTCGCTTCCGAGGTCAGTTTGAAATCAAAATCCCAATAGTGCGGGGCCATAGTGACATAAACACAACATATTTGATATGAATCCTTGGAAAAAATAAACTTGAGCCTGCGAGTATTTGAAACTGGTATTTTGTCAGCGGATAACTTTAAAAAAATACTCGACCTCGATGGGTCGACACTTGAGCCCGCGGTACGGTCAGGTGATACTGGTCAGCGGATGCCCTGTTTTGATAGCTGTCAATTGATCACAACATTGATGTGCAGCCTGTGCAATTAGTTTTCTCTTGGGCTCCCAAACTAGCTAAAAGTGTGAGAATAAACATTGGTTTTCCTGTGGTGCGGACGGACGGCGGGCGGTCGGTCGCTGTACGGTCATGTGATTACCAAATTTTCTGGGATGGGTAGATTTACTTAGCAATGGGGCTCCGGCCACTACCACTAACGCTAATATATAGATTTAGCCAGGGCTAAAAGCGAAGCTCCCATTAATAAATTTATATTTTAAATCAAACAATGAACTTGTAATCCACAAATCAGTTAACTTAAGGGCTCATTCATGTGACTTTTGAGGGAAAGGATAAGTTATTTTAGAGTGAAACATCTTACATCGAGTTGATAGCCTAAATATATGTACACCCAAAAAATGGCAAACATCTTCTATCACATTCAAGAGCCATAATGGCTCTTGATCACGGTAGATTAGGCCTCGAAAACAAATTCTTGGAAAACAAATCAGGCCGCATTTTTTTTTTTTGCGTTCGACAGGTTTACTTTTTACAAATCCTTGCCAACAAATCTGAGGGTGTGTAAACCAACCTTTTATACTTTTTATACATCACATCTGAGGTGAAACAGTACTTTTTATCATACAGACCTCGGACAGAATACGGCATTTCACAATTTTTCAATGTTCAGGACGATCAATCGTGGGCTTTTAGCGAAACCGTTCAAAAAATTGCCAAGATCACCCATACGTCCAGCCGGTTCTCATTTTTAGTGCGAGCTGTCAGTGTGGTCGAGTGTTTGAATGAACTTTAATGGAGATACGTCTCAACATAATAACGAATTTGTTATCATTACTTTTTGTTATTTAATGGTTCCAGCTATAACGATGTGTAATCTTATAAAGCGTTTGATACGTGGGACATTTCTATGTACTCCTGCAAGCGATGTTCATGAACGATGAAAACAAACACCACGGACAAGCGATTAAAATTGCAAGGGAGACTACTAACAATCAATAAAAGAAATATAATTCGGTAAAACATTTACAGAGACAACAATTTTCATTCACGAAGACAAGTATTAAAGTGTCTCTAAAAATCCTGAGTCTTTAAGCTTTAATAAAGCTAAAGCTTAAGTTTATTTTGTTTTACTTTCAGTCGGCCTCCCGGTGTTTGTTTTTTTTTTCACAGATGAACTCCTCGAAGCAAGAAAATCACTCAAAGTTTTCTTTCTACAGCCAAATTTATAACTAAATATTCTTCGGAACGTTTGTTTTCTATTTGCCGTGAAAAAAAAAATCTGAAGGCCTTTTAAAGTCCTGTAAGCTTATATCAAACCTGATACTAGATCAGATCATTGACTCAAATCTTAACAAACGTGCAAAAACTTGCCGCATAAACTGTGCTCGACTTCATGAAATTAGATATAACAAAAACAAACATCAAATACAATAATTACTCAGGCTTACCATTCGAGATTCAGTTCCTGAAAGATATCAAGGAAGGCCATAGTTGCTTGAGACTTTTAAACCCTCTTACGCATTGAGCAAGGTGAAAGACGAAAACGATGCCATCCGAAATCGGATTACCCAATTTTAGCAAGCGACGCATTTCTCAACCAAAAACCCAATAAACAAACCAGCCATGGATAACAGAAGACTTTTGATAGCAGCTGTATTTCATTTTGTACATCCAGTGGAAAAAGACAGTTAAAAACGTCACAAGTTGACACAAAACTCTGTCAAAGTAAACAACTTTCAAGATGCTGCATAAATTTTCCGCATGAACTCACCTGTCAAATTTTGACCAATCAGAGTACAAAAATTGGACGTACAGCGTGACCAACGCGTGACCATGGTAAGAAAAGGTCTTCCCCGCCTTTATTTTTTAAAAAAGTGGCTGAATTTTTCGCGTCCGAGGTCAGTTTGAAATCAAAATCTTGACAGTGCGGGGCCATAGTGACATAAACACAACATATTTCATATGAATCATTGGAAAAAATAGACTTGAGCCTGCGATCATTTGAAACTGGTAATTTGTCAGCGGATAACTTCAAAAAAGTACTCGACCTCGATGGGTCGACACTTGAGCCCGCGGTACGGTCAGGTGACACTGGTCAGCGGATATCCTGTTTTGACAGCTGTCAATTGATCACAACATTGATGTGCAATTAGTTTTCTCTTGGGCTCCCAAACTAGCTAGAAAGTGTGAGAGAAAACATTGGTTTCCCTGTGGTGCGGACGGACGGTCGGGCGTACGGTCACGTGATTACCAAATTTTCTCGGATGGGTAGATTACCACATTTCCTTAGCTATGGAGCTCCGTCCACACGCGCGCGCTTCGCGCGCGGGTGGAGCTCCGCTATCATTACCACGATTATTACCACTTCCACTGCCACTACCACTACCATTACCACCACCATTACCACCACCACTACTACACTACCACCAGCATTACCGTCACCACTACCACTTTCACAACCGACTACCACTACCATTACCAACACCATTACCACTATCACAGCCACTATGACTATCATAACCACCACTATTTTTAGTACCACCACCGCTACCACTGCGTTCACCATTACTACTTCCACTATGAGTTCCACAACTTTGCTTCTGTTGTTATCTACTTGACTGTTATATTATTCTTTTCTGGTGGGATGAAAGGCTTGGATCCTGCCGGTCCTAAGTTTACAAACGCGGAAAAAGACTTTCGACTTGATGAAAGTGACGCCAGCTATGTCGACGTGATTCACACCAATGCAGGAGTTTTGGGAACAAGCCAGAGGGTTGGAGACATCGACTTTTATCCAAATGGTGGTAAACATCAGCCCGGATGTCTAGTCAATGGTAGGTTAAAAAAGAGAATTTTCAAAATTTTACATGAGTTGTTTCCGAGGTGCTCCAATTATTTAAGCTTTTATTTTGAAGCGACACTTTAAATGGCACTTTCTTGTCATGCAAATCAATCGCATTTATTTCACAAGAAAGTTTTTGCTTTTGCATTTCCTTGAATAACGAGGGGTTATTGAACTCGCAAATGGCATATGCTGTATAAGAGATTAATTAAAATCTTATGTGAAATCTATGCTTCTTTGATTTTGCCGGTTTTTCCTCCTTAAACCATCCTTTATACTCGAAAAAGCACCGCGCGGGCGCTCATTGAATTTTTTTGGCTTCTCGGCTTCTTGGGGGTGGCTGTCACATAAATCTCACATTTTGGAAATACCACTACTGTCCTCGTTTCCTTAGAAAAATTTTTGAAATTTTATTTTATCCTTTGCTCTTCTTAAGAAAGATGTGAACCGCAAAAGAAATCTCAACTCATGTATACTTCTTCTTAAAAAAGACACAATAAGCACTTTGCATCATTTTAGCCACAAGATTTAGTTTTATTGTTGAAAGAAGGTGAAAAACATTTATTTTCACCCTAAATTGGGTTGACCACCTGCTACTTATGACGTCATAGCTCGTAACCATAGCAACTGACCATCACTAAACTTGTCTCAAAATGTGCGCAAGGGATAAATAAACAGCTACTAAAAACGTCAACTACTGATGTTTTATCCTCTAGGAAAAAACTCAGAAAAACCTTGTGCCCTCCCCCCCTTAGACGTCCGAGGGTTAATAGACAAGTCAATTAGCTTGTTAGTTAGTTAGTTACTTAGTTAGTTGGTAAGATTCTTAGATGGATAGTTACTTACTTACTTACTTACGTTCTCAAAACATAAAAGTGGCAAAAAACAGTGAAAATAAAAAAAAGCGCCGCATTGTTGCTGGGAAGGTGGGGTTTTTATTTGAGGGAGGTGCTCTTTCGAGTAATCACAGTTTTTTTCTTATTTTCTTTTCAATTCTTTCAGTCGTATGTAGCCACATAAGAGCGACGCAGTATTTCATTGCCTCCGTGAAGGGATCGTGTTCATGGTCCGCATATCCATGCGACGACTACCAGTCCTTCAAGCAAAAGAAATGTCCAGCGTCGGCGTGTAATGGTACATGTCCTAGCATGGGTTTCGAAGCTGACAGCCCTAAAGGCGAAGGAAAGTTCTACCTAAGTACAGACGAAAACGATCCATTCTGCGGTAAGTTTTTTCCCCCAAAAAAATAAATTGAGCTCGTCATAGCACGACAGTGGCACTAAATGGCTGCTATACTGTGACAATAGACGGATCGAAACAGCTCGAGACGCACTAATGACATTTAATAATGTCTTCATAGCTAATAACCTCACGCGGCTTAACTGACAGGCGACCAATAACATCGCGAATTAATTGACTGATCAGGTAAAATACCGGAGTTTAACGCCATCAACTGACGTTATACAACTCACTATGACTCTGAGGATGACTACCGCACAGGTTGTCAAAACGTCAGTCGTCAATGTCCTCAACAGTCCTGTTCAGGACTACACTCACCCGGACGATCATATTCTATCTACTTATGAAATGACTCCTGATTTCAAACCTTTCAAAAGCAGTTCAATGTCATTAGTAGACTGCGCTGCTTGCATTAAGAAAAGGGAAAGGGATTGAGTATAGTTGGTGGGCGCGGGTAAAACACGGGAAACGTGCAACAAAAGGAAGACTCCTGTCGCTGCCCTCCTTTCCACGCTACACTCTTTTCATGGAGTGAAATTCCCCCTTTTCTTCCACCCCGGAAGGGGGGGGGGGTATTCAATTTGAATTTTCTCAACTACTCTAACCAATAAATGACTTTTTAAAACAAGACGGCGTTCATTTTGTTGTTTGACGTGAGCAGGGTAATAAAATTGAGGTTGTTGTCCTAAGCAAGGTATGTACTTTAGGGTTTTTTGTCCTAAACAGTGTTAGGGTTTCAAACCCTTAGTTGCTCATCTCTACCCAAATATTGGTCAAGTGCCCCCCCACCTTGTTCTTCCAAGTTTTATTTTGGAACCTCCAATGCAGGCAGGAGCCCAAAATGGAACTGTTGCTACTGATCCACACTTATTATATATCCCCTAACCAATGACCGAGAGATAACATGATCGTTTCTTTGATTTGTAGGGCAGACGCAGTGAGAACAATTGTCACAAAAGTGTGAGATAAGTTGGATGCAATGATTACAAGTCTCTGTTATTAATAAAGTAAATGTTAAGAAATTACAATGCAGTGTATTTGGTTTTGTAATTTACTTCCCCTAAATTGCAATTTGCTATCATGTAGAGCGCCTACATTTCCGTAAGTGCATGTCCGTTGAAGGTTTCAAAAGTGTCCATTATCCGTCTCAGAGGTGTCCGTGTTATAGACAATATGGTTTCAGTAAAATGACTGAAAAACGGCAGAGACCAACACTGGATGTCCGTCCTTAAGAACTGTCGACCCTTAAGGGGGAGTTGACTGTCTTTCCCCTGGGAGATCACAGGTTGTCGACACCTTTTGGAGCGAAAATAAGCCCCTCAATGTATAAGCCACTCCAAATATAAGCTCACCAAACTCGTAACGCAGAAAACCGGCTCCGCTAAATCGCCCCTCCAAATATAAGCCCCCCGGGGGCTTGTACTTGGAAATTGCCCTCAAATACAAAGTAAAACAAAGCAAAAACGGTAAATTTCCTTCCAACTATAAAGCTAGCCCAATCGATTTTGAAACGCAAATTTCCCTCCATAGATAAGCCCCTCCAAAAATAAGCCCCTCAAAAAGGGCCTTTAAAAATATAAGCCCCGGGGCTTATTTTCGGACTTTTTCGTTAGTTACCGTAAACACTGACCACGTAAATCGGTATAGACAATTCTGTTCAAATATATAAGTACGGCATCTAAGCCTTAAACCACAGTTATCTAACGAATACCTAAATACAGTTGAATACAGTATATATACATCCACAAACAACGTAAAATGCTTGACTTCTACACATTGCATTACAGCAACTGTTCGGTGGAGTTTATAGTAAAAGCAAAGAAAGATAAAGTCTATGAAATCAAAACAAAAGCAAAAATTAAGAGCAAGAAAAAAGTTTAACACAAAAGCTCGGGATTGACTGTACTCAATTCGTAATTTGTTTACTGTAAAGCATCTAAGCTCAAACTTGCAGACAATTTGCTTGTATCTTCGACAAGACCAGAGACACTTAGTGTTTGGAAAAAATTGTCGTAGTGTTTCAGATGTTTTAGCGTTTATGCGTATCGGTAGTGAGGCGATTCTCTAAGCGCTTTAACTAAGAAAGTATATCACTTGTTCGTTTCTTGATAATGTTCATCGAAAAATTGGCTCGTAAATACCTCTTAACTTAGTCATGAACCAACTGGTTCCTGAATTTATGAATGAATGGTAAAAAAGAATTAAAGTAATTTTATTTTTAATTTGACAGATTGCATACTATTGAACTTGGCGTTTATTCGATATGTAGTCTTAAAGGCTTGCTGTTGACCTTACCGTAACGATTCGATTTACCGCTTTCCTTCCAATAAGCGCGCCCCCTCCCCCCTTGGAAGGTGTTTTTTTTTTAATAGCCCCCATTCCAATAAGCACCCCTATTCTAATATCTGGGAGCTTTAGCATTTACGACGGCGACGGCAGCAAAAATGTCACTTTTAAAACGAATTCGCGCTTTTTCAAACTTTGTCGCGCTCATTCCAATTCCCTGAAAATGTCAAATGTAGGAGAATTTCCCTGGAGTTAATTTCTTGGGGACCACACTCGAGTTTTGAAAGTGAAAGAAATTAGGGATTTTCACGCCGTAGTCGTGCAGTGACCGCAAAGAAATGTACAAAAAAGCGTGATGCACGTGGGTGCAAAGTTGTTGTTTCGCTAATCAAACCTTTTGCTTTTGTGACGTTCTCGCTATAGGTGTGGTTTTCATGCAATCTCGGGAGACACAAATAACAATGCTGAAATGAACAAATGCTGGTGGAAAAACACAACGAACTAATACCACATTACAAAAACAGTTGTCTTCGTCTAAGTTTCTCCAGTTAACTGAACGTTCACCGTATATATTTGTTACTGTTACAGTTTCTGTTATTGTCCCTTTTAAAATAAATATTAAAGTTTTGTTTTGAACGTTTGGTTATTTCTCAAAAAGAAAAGCGCCCTGTCCCGAATAAGCGCCCTGTCTTGAATAATTGCCCTCTCTTGAGGTACCAAAAGTTAATAAGCGTTCCGGACACTAAAAATATATAAATCGAATCATTACGGTATATGATTGAAAGGCCGGGAGTTTTATTCACTGCCGCTATAATCCGCAGGTTATAAAACTCTGTACATTTAACATTTGCGATGTTAGAGAACACTGTCTTTCGATCACCTGGTCGTATAAACATGATTCACTCCTTGTTAAAAATAAACTATGGTTTAATGCAGTGGAATCTTTTATGAAGTTAGTAAAGAGCTCTATCGCTTGCAGGAAGTTTAAAACAAACGCAATGAATGCAAAAATATCTGCGGTAAGCAGTTTAGCAGATATTTGTTTTCTGCACCTTCTTATATGGTTAATTACGTGTGTTATCTTGTCTGTTTGTGTTTCGGTATTAATGGTGTTAAGTACTTTGCATACAGTTATATAAGTGTCTTGTTCATTCGTATTCGTCCTTCGGGTCTGTGAACGCCTTCTAACAACCCACAGTCTGATTTCATCGCTCACTTAATGAGCAAAAAGCAAGGATCTTCAGTTCCGTCCGTTAACGTTAGCGATGCAACAGTCGTTGCGTTCCATTAATGAGGCTATTAGGGCTTAATTCTGTTGCGGAGTTTATCGGTTCTTTAGCGGATAACCTTACGCAGGTTATCAAAGATCGCCTAAGTGGCTTTACAAAGCGATTTTCGGAGGAAATTGCGAAAATAACGCGACAGTCGAGCAAGCCGTTAACACTGTTAATAAGGCCCCCAGCGAAGTTTTAGTTGTG